ATGAAGCGAGTTTTTTTTTAAGAGTGATTTTTCATTGTTGAAAAACTATTTTTCGACTGAATGTCTGTACAAAGTGTCACCTAGACTAAAAGAATGAAAATAAAATAAAGAAATAATTTAATAGTATTTTTTTTTTAAAATTGTATCCAGTTTACTTCAGTTTACACAGCTAGATTTATTTATTTTAGAAATAAAATTTTCTGAAATGCTTTCTCGTATTCATTGTCTGTTAGATTGCTGATATTTGTATTTTGCTTGCTCATATAACTCTAAGGCTTTTCTCGGAAACGGCATATAATATATTATGTTGTACTCGCGTGTATTTTGCGGAACATGAGGTCGAAAATAAGTTGTCGATCATTGCAAAATATTGGACGAGCGCTAATTAAAAATAATAACAACATATTGATAAAAAATTTAAAAAGCATGATTAGAAAAAGCAGAAAGCAATTTTGATAGGCTGGAAGGTTATTATTTTAAATGAATAAATTATTATGATTTTGGTTTTTACTATAACTTCTCCTTTTCATATTCCTCACCAGAATGTAAATTACTTGCGAGTGTTTTAGCTCAGTTTTTGGATTCTGAGACAGAAAGTGTTTCGAGCATTTGCGGTTAGTTTCTGCCAGCTCTAATAGTTGTAATTATTCGGCTTTGCGGTTTCTCGCCGACAGAACTTTAAATTGACACGCAGGTAAATATATTGAACCGGCTTCCAGTTCAGTATTTAATTGTGCAGTCTTTGGCTACATTTAATTTAAATTAATGTTCTCTTTATTTGCATCACTGCGAATTGTGGTTATTGTAGCACAAGAGCGTGGCCTAATTAGTCCAAGTTCGGTTTAAATATAAAAGTTGTTTGTTATTAATATACAAAGGTTGTTTAAAATATTGGTGTATTAAGAATACGGCAAAGCTCACTAGGGCTATCTGCCTAAGAGGATGGATGCCTTCGTGGAGGACTTTCTAAGGGAAACTGGCTCGTATACACGTTACACATGGGGAAAACCACGAAAACGCCCATGCACCCAGCCCGTTCGTGGGACTCGAACCTCGGAACGAACTACCAGTGTTCAGCGATTTTACCGCTCGGCCGCTGGCTGTTTAAAATACAAAGTGTATTATGACTTCGTGGATTATCTCAGACATAGCGATAACTCGCTTCACGTCCGTTAGGGCTGTAGGACTAAAGTAGAGTTTCTAGATCAAGTTTAACCCTATAAAATTCTCTTTAGATTATTTTAAAAACATTCTGCAGTCGCCGAATTATTTTATTCTTTATTTAAAGTTACTCAGCTCAGAAATTATATTCTACACTTTGTAATGTGTTTATTTATTTTAAATAATCAGTTATTTTAATGTACGCATCTTTAATGTCACTTTTTCCTTTCTTTTTTCCTGCCATTATGCAAATTTTAGCTCGGCCCTATTTAAATAAAGTAGAAAGAGAGAGTGTTAGGGAGGTTTTAGATTGCTTAGACAGAGCATGTTCCGCCTGTTGAAGGCCACGTTATTATTATTAGTTCATATTATACAAAAGCATTTCTGTCTAGGGCGTTGCTTTATTCTCGCAAATAGTCCTGTTACGCCTGTATTAGTTTGAGACAACTTGCGCGTTCAATAGATTTGCGTAACCGTAGGCTCACTTAGATTTCATTTAAATATGAATTTCTTACTTTTGAATTTACCCAATAAATGCTGGTTGGTTTTGTAAGCACCATTCTTGCCTTCTGTTCATATATTTGAGTTAATAAAAGGACCTTTTACACCCTTCTTACGTTCTGTTTCCTTATCCAGACATAGTGATAATTCGCTTAGTTATACTAGTCTTGACACTTAGTTTATGTTACCAAAAAGAGTGAGACTTTACAATTTTTTTTAGATTTTACATTTTAAAACTGTAGTAGTAGTATATTTTTGTAATAGTAATAATAAGTAGTAATTTTTTATCACAAGTACAAGTTATGCATTTATTTTGTAATTTTTTAATTCTTAAATAATTTCAGATGTTTTATAAAATTGATTAACAAATTTAAAACTGAATAGCAATTTTGTTCAGATATGCGAAAAGATGAAACGCGATCCCTTTGAATTGTTGGTGATGCATGTGCATACACAACGGGAAAAGTGAATATAAATCATTTAGGTTAATAATAATATTATGGTTTAAGTATTAACCTGAATGATTAGATTAAATATTATTGACCGGTAATATTTAACCCTTGCCATGATGGAAATTAAAAATATGCCATTGCTTCTTAAACTGTGCCCATTGGTAAAAAGAAAATCACGATTTATATCATCATCTTTTACTTCGTACATAAATTTCTCTTACATGCATTAATTTGAGTGTTCATTTTAAAAGTGGATATTTCATAGGAACAGTAAATGTATATATTTATGAGACACACCTTGTCTGTAGTATACTATTTTAAAATTACATTCTTGTAGTTCAATATTTGAATATTATTAATATAATTAAGTATGTTGTAGTATTAGCCTATGAAGCTTTCCCCCTTGTTTTTACTCTGAATGGCAGCAGTAATATTCATTTTAGAATTTTCTAAGGTATGTGTGCAATTGTTTTTTTTTAGTGTAATTCGTTTCTTCATAAAGTGTTCCGAACTGTAAGGGCTGGAAATTTCAGTGGTTGTGATCTCTTTAGCTATAATTCTATACGGAGGGAAAATCTCTTCGGCATCTGCATGATGGAACTTGGTGCTTGACGTTTCGTAACATCTTAGTATGTCCAGGTGTGATATTCATGCTCTTGCAGTAAAGCAATGAAATATCAGACAGTACTTTACGTTTCAGTGTCGATGGTTATTTTTAAAGATTAAGAATCTACAGATTCATCGTCTTGACGTGACATATCAGACAACTATGTTCTTAAGACGTAGAGTCAATAAACAGATGCAGGTTTTCAGAGATCCATGTTTGGCCACAGATATAACCACGTCGATGAATCATGCCTCATCTTAGAAAAACACTTGATTTAAAATGGGAATATTGCCAAAAATGAAGTTTCTGCAACACAATAATAAGAAGAGCGACATACAGCATGGTAGAGCTCATCATCTGTTCCCTGTAGGCCACATCAAGCCTCTTTTTGCATTTAAAGAATTCATGCTTTCCGTCTTCCTCAAACATATTGGTTTTTCAGACCCTTATATATAAGAGCAAAATAGGAATAAGATCACTATGCCCAAAATTATATACTCCTAAATGTACGATCTATTTTTAAATTGAATAATATATGTACATAGTGATGCACTAATATGAAATCTCACGAAAAAGCTTTGGAAGAAAACGTCTTTTTTTTCTGGAGTACAACTATTTTAGATATTTAAAAAGTAAAAAATTTACGAAAGAAAAGGACATAACGACATGGACGAAAAGGGTGGAAAGAACGGGCATCCTTTCAACAGATTCAAAGCGAGCAGAATTATATGTTAAAAGTTGCAGCTTAGGACTCAGAAGGAAAAGTAAATTTGAAAAACTGAAATTAAATGAAATAGCTCTAAGCTGTTTTCTTAGGAAATGTTGTAATCGTATTGTATTAGTGACTTCATCATTATATGTGTTTGGATGGCAGTTTTGCCCTTTCTTAGAATTTCTGCTGATGTGATCCAAAAATTTTCCGTAATTAAAAACCAGTCTGTGAAGCCAAAGTATGCTTATGACGCATAAAAAATGCATAGAAATTTGAGTAAATGTAGTACGGGGGAAAACAGACAGTAAGAATTTTCTGATTAACAAATATTTTAAAGGTTTAAAAATTAAAATTAAAATTCTATTGTCATATAATATCATATATAATATCATATCGTCATATAAGTCCTATAATTTGTATTATATATAAAGATTTCTGTTGTCGGAAAATTTTTAGAAATTTATCTGAAAATAATTCTGAATATTTTACATTTTTTATAGTTAATTACAAATATGTGTAATATTTTAATTCTCCGGAATGATTGCTTTCTGGCGACTGCTCTTTCCGAGGTTACTTGCCTTTATTTACATCATTAACCAAGACGGCTCTGAAAATTCTCCGGAACGCAACACTTGCAGTGAAAGTGATTGCTTTCCAGAAAGATCTTGAGGCTTTCGAGATGAGACATTAAAATAGATTGCTTCCTTTTAAATGCGATAATTGACAAATTAATTAAGATGGGACATTCAAAAAAAGAAAGGCGATGCATCGGTAAGGATTATGAAAGTTCATATAAACGGTGAGCAATTTGGAGCAATAATGCAAGTATGGTTATTTCTGTTGTGTAATAATTTGAAGACTTGGCTTTTCATTGATACCATCTTTCTTACCATAGCCGTAATGCTATAATTGCACGATGCAGTCAAACATGTAGTCATATTTTTAACTCACCTTTTATTATAACATAGATTTTTATATATAACTGGAACATTGAACTGGTTCTTGCAGTGATTTTCTTCTTCTTCTACCTCTCTTTTTATTAAAGTAGTAGTAATGGGTTTGTTTGAATCTTAATAACTTTTGGTTTCATTGACTAGAGATGAAACATTGTAATCTATTTAGTTCAAAGACGAAGAAAAAATTCTCTGTTCTTGGCCATAGTAAGTTGCCGTTTTTGGTTCTTCCGACTGGTTTCTATGACTGGTTGAAAATACAACTGAAGCGTTTTCAAAGGATTCTGAAGTAATTCGCTCTTCATGGAAATGGAAACAAAATAACACACTTATATATATATTTAATATATAATTTCCCACTCTCTGAAATAACGAAAGCCCATTATAGAATGTTCTTTCTGCAATCGCATAAGGAAAGAAATAATAGAATTTTTCAGGAGCAAAAATGGTTTAGGCTATGAAAAAGGAAGGGTCATATGTTCTGGAAATTTGTTTAGCGTTTTTAGTTAAATTTATTTCAGTGTAATATTTACCAGATAATAGATATTTTGCTCTTAATTGTTATATTGTGAAATTGAAAATAATTTTATTTTATATTTATATTTCTTTTCTAGATCTTAAGAAACTGCATCCAAAAGATGGAGAACATCTTGCATTCTGGTACAAGCCTTACTTGTAATTATCTGTGTATACGTGACTAAGAACTTCTAAAAATTGTTCTCTCTGAAATTTTTACTTTCAGAGATTTAATGATAAGATGCCAGATTTTGCTGGCTTATATAAAGTGATTTATTTATTTTAGTGTTTACTTCTTTCAGACTTGTTTATATTTCTGTAAGTCAGGGAAAGTATTTGAAATTTTTACGTTCATGCATTCTTTTGTAATTGAAGATGCATGATTTTTATTTGTGCCGTTGTTGCCAACCAACTGTTTGTCATTTTTTCTGGTAATGGTATTTATTATTCATCTTTTTGTGCATTTGCTGTGCTCAATGGTCCATGAGGTTCACGAAAGTGTAAATGACTGTAAGCGTATGCTGTAAAATCGTATAATTTTTTAGAAACCTGGTGTGACCAAGCTAACATTAGGGTGTAATATTATAATATATGCTTCTTTCTATTATTATTAATTTGCTTTACAATATCTCAATAGTATCAGCAAAAATGTCTTCAGTATTTTTCTTTTTATTCGACAGTGAAAAATGATTTACTGATTATGAAAAAAAGTTTTCTGTTTTTTACTTAATTTACTAACGTGTGATTTTTCATAAATGATTTGTAGACATTAAATGAATTTCCATTAAAAATGTTTTTTTTACTCTTCACTTTTTAAAAATTTTATGTAATTAGTCTAATATGAGACGATGGAGACCTTACTCTGATACTATTTTGTACTTTAATTATTTTGTATATAAATGTATGTTGTTGTGAACGTATTTATATTATATATAAAATCAAGTTGTTCAAGTTGTAAAACTTTCTGCCTTTTATTTGAATAAATATTTTATTCTGACTGGACATTTTTGAAAATGTGAAGAAAGTAACGAAACTAATAGACGACAGACAACTATTTAAAAAAGGTTATCAAATAATTCTACCATTAGAAAAGTATTTTTAATTTATATTTCTCTGAAATAATTTATAAAAATGTTCAATGATTTATACGTGTAACAGCTCGATTTAAAACGGTGTTTTTTTGTTGTGTCTTTTGACCCGTAAATTCATCTTCATTTGGTCTTCTTTGTTTGTGTCATAATGCAGAAACGAATGAAAAATCTCACGAATACAGTTTTTAGGCTGTTTTCTCAATTTCTCAAAATATTTCGCGTTCAATAGCTCAAATTACTTTAAAAAAAAAAAAAAAAAAACTCGGTTAGATCGCTGCTGACCCAGTATACTAAAAACTTCTCGATATTAAACCTTGAAGCCTTGTGGCGTTATGTGTCACCACCGATAAAGATTGACATGCAACCCTAGACAAGGGAAATCACAATAAAGAGCGAACTCTTTTATTGCGCACTCGCCACTGCTTTTCTTTATGTAATGGGTCCCTGTTGATGAGTGGTCATGCGCCGGCGCCGGAATACAAGTCGACGTCTGTGGTAATGGATAGCGATGAAAATCTGAAGAGGGTTTTGTTTTCATAGGTCATCCAGCTTGTTAATGCCATCAACCAATTGGGTGGTGTTATTTTGTCGATTGTTTTTACTTTTATAAAGATTTCGATGCCAGCTCTTTTTTTCCTCCATGTCACTGAAAATATACCGTAAAATACTCTGGTTCTTAAAAAAGGAAAATCTGTTGGATTTCTTTAAAGAGAGATATTTAGATGATATTAAAGATATGAGTCTTTTGTTTAAACTTAGAGTGTTTTTCCTCGGCTGTACTTGACAAGAAAATTTTTATTTTGAGAATACTTTCAAATGCAGTGCATAACTTGTTCAGGTTAAAAATATAACTTAAAATTGTTTTTCCATTTTTTATTAAAATACAAATGTTCCGTTTCCTAAATCCTTTTCCTCTAAAATAAGTAAATCTCATACTTTTTTCATTCGGAAACTCTTTTATTTTGCTCATATTTTCTAAAAAATTGCTTGTTAGTGCATACAACTATGCAACTTGGAAAATCCAAGTAATTTGTTCTTGCCACTATGTTCTGCCGCATTTTTCTGTAATTGCTTTTAGAGTCACTAGATTATTTTGAAACAGAAGACATGAAAAAATTAGCATTACCCTCACCGGGACTCGAACGTGAACCTCTCGAATGCGCGTCGAGTGTGCTACCGTTACACTACGAAGGCATGCAGAAAAAGGAGGGAGATATTAACCTTATATACTCCCCCTTTTAAAGGGCGAATGTGACTGGGGGACTTAATTGCCAAATCCTGCCGATGAAGAATCATCATCCACCACCTTTTAGTTCGGGCACCACTGTAGAGTCATTAAGATTTTTAAAGTAGGAAACACGAAAAATGAACGAACCTGGACCTCTCGAATCCTCGCCGAGTGTGTTACGGTTACACCACGAAGGCATGCAAAAAGGAGGGAGAAAATACAATAAATTTTATTAGAGAAAATTATTTTGATATGCTATTTTTAGCTGCAAGGGAAAAAATTATGCATGCTTGTAAGGTATATTTTAATTTTAGAACAGTTGTTTAAATTTCTATGTACTTTCCTATCGATTCTTGTTTCCACTTACAACTCCTTACTAGAATGAGTTTTTAGAATCGCTTTGAATGCAAATGAATTAGAAGTAGTATTAAAGGAAGGTTCAACTTACTTCGTGAGAGAGAGAGCTAAGAATCCTGAGTAGCGCGTGTTTGCCTTCGGGCTGAGTTTCTGCATAAGCTGTTACCCTCGGCCGTATATTATGTGCCTTTTGATATTAGCCGGCTAGTTTAAATTAAGGTCCAATTAACGTTAGATTTCTATTAGCTTCGGCTAAATTTTTTCAAGCTCGAGTGAAGGCTTTGTTGTAAGCCCGGGAAAGGGGTCAACTGTTCATCTTATTTAGAGTGAAACAAAGGGTAGTTAACCCTTCTTGAGTCTACGACTTTAGTTATTTGAACTCAGTGATAAGTCGCTTAACAGTTCACTAGGTTCCTGGACATTCATTTAATAGAAAAAGAGCGAGGAACTCTAGCTGGATACTTGCTCGAAATTGTTCGTCGAACATAGCCATCCGTCAGCTAGGAGTCTCATAACCAAGAACATTACCCTGGAACCGAGAACTTGTATATATTATGCGGAAGTCACACCTGCGCCATCGGTTTCATGTCAGCAGCCAGCCTTCGCTCATTCCTGTACCGACCAAAGCGCAGTAAATGTTGGAAACTTTTTTTTTTTTTTTTGTAGTAAATATATTCTCAACAAATTATCAAAGTAGAGAGTAAAGTAATTTCTCTTATCTTGTATCCAGCGCAGCGTCAGCGTGATCATAGCTAACTGAGACGTGTAATCGAAAAAGAGATTGAAGACGGAAATTGGAAGATCTTAAACAAATTTTATTAATACATAATAATAGATTAAGATTCGGTAGTTTTTCTAATACATATCAAAGGAGCAGGGCCGGATTTACTAGACTTGATATTATCACGTTCAATGTTCCGTCTTACTTTCTTTGGGAACATGCACAGACCTGACTCGGAACAGGGAGCTTACTAAAGCTATGTTCAATAAATGTGGTAAGTAGACAAGATACACAGGAAGGGTATACGAAACCCTTTATTTTTCACTCTTTACAATAATTTCCGTACTTCGGAATACAGAGACCAACTACTTGTGGTCTGAACGTAAGAATATAAAAACATTAACTAAACTCTAACTTAACTTTGGAGTAACAAACAAGGGCCTACGTGGAAGATTGGCCGTATATTAACAGGAAGCCGTATGTAGTACAGAGAACTGTTAACACTACAATACGTTTAAAAATTATCACGAGGATTAAACCTCTGGCCTGGAAGGCAACCAGCAACTGAGTAAAACTGCTAAGGTAAGCGGCCTGCTTCGACTAACTCCTTCCTCTCTCCTCTCTCTGCTTGCAAAAAGCCACAACTTAAGTACTTGGCGTTCGCCAGACAAATTTGCATAAATAAGTTAAAGCTTTTAATTCTGGCCGGAAGTGGAAAATAAGAAGTGATAGTAAAGATTTAAAATAAAATAAACGTTAGTAAAACTTAAGATCCTTACAATATAAGGCCTTAAACTATTTGAGATATGGGGCCCTTTAAAAGTCCAGATGTTATAGGTCAGTGCCAAATATGATTTTCAGATACTTAGAGGGTTAAACTGAAATAAAACTAAGAAGTATATGGATAGTGAAATAATAAATCTTTATCTTAAAATTATTTTTACTTAGCAAACTTAAAAACGCAAACTCTGGTAAAAAAGAAACAAAAGTTCTTTTAAAAAGCTTATTATCTAATCTCTTGAAATATGTTATAAGAATTAAGGAATTATATTAAACTAAAATATTTTATTTCATGTCTTTCCCAGAAAAAGTCAGTGATGACATTATCAAATGATAAATTGCATAGTTTGCCACTTTCTATGCACATAAGACTGAGGGGAGCATAATTTATCTTCAGTCATTTATTGTCCTAAATTCATTTATTATCCTCTTCAGCTGAGAAAAAGATCTTTCTTCAAAGCAATTTGTAACGGCCGGAGCCAGTGTAGCGGAGCAACACAGGGAAATCCCAGTGTGTATAGTAAAAGAAATTATATACTTTACACGTTCCATTTCTATTATAAAATTATAAGGTATTTCTCCCGCCTTTTTAGCATACCTTCGTTGTGTAGTGGTCTGCACGCTGGGCACGTATTCCAGAGGTCCGTGGTTGGATTCCCGGCGAAGGCGTTCCTCATTTCACATCTCCTGCTTCCAAACAAATCCTAATGTCTCTACAGGCGCCCGAACTAAAAAGGGTGGTGGATAATGATTCTCCACACCCAGGATTTGGCGATTGGGTCCCCAAAAAACCACAGTTGCCCTTTAAAAGGGAAAATATATAAGGTACTTCTCCCGCCTTCTTAGCGTGCCTTCAAGGTGTAGTCTGCACGCTGGGCGCGTATTCCAGAGGTCCGTGGTTCGATTTCCGGCGAAGGCGTTGCTGATTTCACATTTCCTGGTTCATAAAAAAATGCTAATGCCTCTAAAAATAATACTGAAATAATTTTAAAAGTCCGGTGGCGTAGTGGCTAGCACCAGCACCAAGGTCCGGGATTCGATCCCCGGGCTGGGGAAGGTTGAGTGGGTCTATAAAATGCGTACCAAGTTCGCTTGGGGACTAAACACCGAGGATCCAGCGACAAGCTGACCACTTGTCCAGGCTAAGATGCACAAGCAGCCCGGAGTCCACAGTCTAGAAAGCAGATATCAGGGCACTGCTGCCCATGGCTCTCTAAGGGCTGTTTGTGCCGCTGCGTATAGTTTAGTTTTTAATTTTAAAATTACCGAAATTACCAGAATTTCTTGTCGGAATTTATCAGTAATTTCGGTAATCATAATTAATCGGTAATACTGGTTATCAAATTCAAACCCTAGGCACAATATTGCTTTGTTCTTCGAAAAAACAGGCTAAAAAAATTGGGTCACCAGTATGGGACGTTCCGTACGTACGGCACTGGGAGAAATAATGATACAGTATATTTAAGTATATATGACAATTGCTCACTCGGGACAATTTTTTTTGGAGGGGGAGGGGGCTAACATAGCTTGTGTAGCTTATACGTAAATCCTGCAGTACAAAAGAGAGTTATATAGGAGTAAGTCATATCACTGTCCTTTCCTTAAGATGTGAGAAAAGAAAAAGGTAAGGTAGAAAGCGAGTTACACAAATTAACGTCTTTGCAGAGTGTCCAGATTACACTGTTTATCGCGCTATTGGCGACAATCTATCAGCATTTGCATACCAATAGTTAAAAGTAGAGCGTAGCTCAAAACAAATGATAAAAAAAAAAAAAAAAAAAAAAAAGAAAGCATAACATGTGAGCACGAAATTAATTTTACAAAC